ATATATATATATATATATATATATATATATATATATATATATATATATATATATTTCCAAAGAATGGAAAGTGACACTAAAAATCCAAAGGCTCATTGGAATAGCGAAAGATGCCTTTTGACACCTAAGCAAAGTATTATGAAACAAAAAAAAATCGTTAAATGCAAAGAAAGGAGTGCTGGACTCTTATGTAATATCAGTCTTCTAATATGGAAGTGAAAAATCTCCTCACAGATGAAGAAGAAACTTAAAACAACAGAAATGTGATTATGCAGTAGCGGACTGAGAAAACCATGGATCAAACATGTGTTTAATAACGAAGTTTTAGAGAAAATAGAAATAAAAAGAACACTTCTACTTGACATCAAAAAGAATCAGTTGAAATTTCTAGGGCAGACAATGAGGAGAGAGTGCTTGGAAAATTTGACACTCACAGGACACACTGAAGGCAAGAAGAACAAAAGAAAACATGCAAAACCTACCTAGTGAGCTTGAGTAAATGAAGGTTTAGGTGGGAAAACAAAAAAAAAAAAAAGAAAATTTATTAAAACCTATAAAGGACATGAAATTGTGGAGAGCCATGATCGCCCATATCTTTAAAGGATAATTCAAACTCAATAGGAAGAAGACGCCGATTTCGCTTACATTATCTTCACATCCCGATACACCACGCGTATTTACTATCACACACCAAAAACTAATTCTCTTATTGAGAAAGCATAACATATATATCAAGAAGATTTAAACCGGAAGTGAGTATGTATTGCGTCAATAAAAAATAAACCAAAATTACAGACTCAAAGTACAGAAGTGGAGAGATACATAAAAAACAGCCATCAGTGTTCTTGTGTTGTTATCACTTGCCTATGTCTCTGCTGATCTTAATTCCAATACAATTAATAAAGAAGAGCGTTAATTAATATTCTGTCTCTTAATATTGAAACATCTTGAGGCGAAAAAGTTTAAAATTTCGTTGGCATTATCAAAGGCCGTAATTAATTTCTTGAAACGTGAAATCTAATATTCAGCCGATCGCAAACAGTTTCGCCATCTCTCCAAATATAAAAATTCCGAGGTTGTTATCTAGAAAGCGTGTAAAAAATTTCAAAACCGTATTTGTCGTCTGCTTCTCTGAAATTTTTCAACCGGTATTTGACAGCACAACTTGCCAGCTGCGCATCGGGGAAGCCAAAATCATGCAGGAACTGAAATTCGACAAACCTGGGAAGTTTAGTAAGAGACAATGGACGTTCTGGCGCAGAAATCCGTAGGTAGATACGAAGAGCAAATGATGTCTTCCATGAACTAAGCAAAATACTAAGACCGAGTATCGCTGACAAAACTAACCTGGCACTTGGTCTCGAAAAGGAACTCGAGTCTGTGGTTGACAGGACAGGAAATGGCTGGTAAACTTTAATGCCTCCAAAACGAAACTGCTCTCATTTACCCACCATACAGAACCCTCCCTGCCTCCATTCAGCATGGCTGATGCCCAATTCCACGAGATCGCCTCTCTACACCTGCTTGGTCTCACGCTGTCCACTGACCTGAAGTGGAACAACTACATTGAATCTATAGCTTCATCTACTGCAAGGAAATATCAACCATTCGCCCTTGCATTGAATACTACTAACATATATGGTCTGGAACCGTTGCTGTTCATTGACAGAATCCAAAGAGGGATATGCAGTGTGATAGGTCCTGATTTAGCATCTTGTCTACAGTCACTTTCTCACAGACGTGCCGTTACATTCCTTTGTTTTTTTTTTTCTACAAGTATTTTCACGGCAACTGCTCCGACGAGATACTTACGTTGGTTTCCAAGCAGCAGGAATTTAAGCGTGCTACTAGGTTGGCATCTCGGTGCCATAATTTCATTTTCGAAACGGTTGAATGTAGCCGCCTCTTCTACTCGCACTTCCTGACAGTGAAAATCCCTTCCTGTTACTTGCTTCCCTGGTGTCTATAATCTTCAAATATTCAAATGTAATGTCAATCGACATTTTTTGATGCCTTGATCTAGTTCCCCGTGTTTTTTTATTTTATCCTTTGCTCAAACACGCCTCTTTACTCTTGCTCTCACAATCTGTAACCCCTTGCGTGCTAGTGGCACTCCCGCCTTGCTTGGGTTGAAATGCGCAAAAACAAGGGGGGTAATTTAAATGACATCTAAACGAATCTGGTCTTTTTTATCACCATATTTTTTGCCTTCCTTCAGCACGTAGGAAGCCAACTTCCAGGAGAGCGACATTACATGTTCTCTGCTTAAGGTTTTCCACTGGGATAAATCCATATGATTATATAGAATCAATTGATAGGTCTGTTACTAGGGAGTTGGTTTACTGTGTGGTGCTAGATTATATTCCTCGCCAGAGTTTATCATGTACATTTAGGCGTACCATTCGTACATGCTTTGAATATTGTTGCCAATATTAAATAGAAATTCGACTCTCCAGTTACCATTTCATTATCCATTTCACTATTCGCAAAGCTAAGCTTT